ACACACTGAGTGAGTGTGTATGAATGAGTATCTTGCATCATGAACAAAACATCTGCCGAGCAATAAAGTTAAGTATCAACTTGGCTCCACATCCTACCCTGCATTCAATTTTCTCATTAGCTACACCATCAAGCTATGATGAGATCCACAGACTTGTACACAAAGGAATGTCACATGTACTGTATGGGAGCATTTATGAATTGAGCAATGGTCTAATAATTGAATTGAATTTTAATTCCATTTATTGTACATTGTACAGGCCTATATTACATTCGATACCAGATTGATCAGAGGGGTACACATGTACACTGTATATTGGGCGAAGGTGATGAAAGAGGGATGGAAAGGGAAACCCTTTGATTTGAAATTATTTTAGAATAAATACCTTGAATTTTCTTTATGAAAGCATACAGTGCATGCATCTAACAACTACAGAACCAGACATAGGAATAATCTCTGGTTTATTACTGAACTCTACATAATAATGGACAGGTGTACATACCTGTACATGTACAGTACATGTAATGTACAATACAGATGTCCAAAATAACACATTGTTTTTGTAATTCAGAAGAAATACTGTACTTTAATATGTCTGGGGATCAAAATGCCAATAATTCAATGAATTTTTTCCATGTACATGTACATTCCTCTAAAAATATCACAGCGGGTGAGCAAACATCATGCACACAATTAAGAACACCAGGCCTAATGTACATTCAAACCTCATCATACATGTACATACCGGTATATCATCTATTTGGATCCAGAAGGGCATTAACTCTTCGTAAAAGTTTCTGAGTTGACACATTTCTGGCTCCAATTTCTGGCTCCATCAGCTGCCAATTGGAAACTGGGACAAAGGACCTTAAATGGGTGTAATCGGTAATCCGTAGCGAAATTCATCTTTTCACCGAACTCAGTCATGTATTATAACTTCTACATGTACATGTACATGGTGAAGCGTACATACATGTACGTACATGTAGTATGTGATTGTGACAAATTGTCTTCAAGATGATTTTTTGTATTTGTGTGTGTGTGTGTGTGCCGCTCTGATAGCAGACAGACCATTGTCTTCATTAAAGGGCAATTAAACACTCCTAATATTATTCATTTGTACATGTACATGAATGGAAGCAGAAAAATGTGATTAATAGAAAGCTGAAAGTTTGTAATAAATTGGACCAATAATGAGACAGCTACATCAAACATGCACGACAATTGATATGTGATCATGTGATCACCAAGTCTTTGCAAATCTCAAATTGGTAGTTTGGTCAATGGATTGTGATGTACAATGTACAGTACAAACAGGACGTATACCGGTAAGGCGGTAGTTAGTAGCAGATAACTCTCCTGTTTGTTGTATACTGAAAATATCATTACTTTCTGTTTTTTCTGAGTGCCTTCTCCCTATAAACAGAGCACGACTCAACATACATGTACAGTGTACATGTAAATACAGGTACTGTACATTATGGAAAGCATGAACACATGTACATGTACATGTAGGTCCTCTGAAAAGAATAGACCCTCTTGAGTCATATATTTTTGAAAGAGTGAAATTTCATTTTGTATTCATTCTAAAGTCACATTCTGATATCCTGTATGACAAGGATCTGACTAGGCCTGTAGACATGGAAAATGATGTGTTTTTAGTATGAATAAATTAAATCTCACTGCCATAAATTCTTTTATAGCATGATCACCCAATAAGAAATGCAATAACATGAACATACTGTAGTATATATGTATATGTATATTGTACATGTACATATGTACACAAGTTACTGTCCCTTCCTAATAAGCCACCTCGGAGATACTATCTGCACATGAGCGGATAAAGATAATTTGTACAAAACTATATGTACAAGCCATCAAGATGACTGCTGGATATGGGTTCATGGAAGTTATGTAATCGCCTATTAAATTGGTTAGTCATTTATGCACAGGTGGAAGTATTCTTTCAAGAGGGCAAACAAAAGGTATTCATGAAGCACCTCCACCTCTGGCAGTGGTTAAATAATAAAACGCACAAAGTGGGACTTCTCCATGTTTATTAAAACGATATGTGGGTATTTGGGGGTTATTTACACAAGAGCGATCTCCAAAGTGGCTTTTTCTGTACTCTCATCTCTCCCCCTGATCTGACCCAGTCCTCTACTCTTGGCAAAGTGCACAGTAATGAATGCACACTAAACACAAATCTCAGCAGCTGTTTAGAATTGGTGCACAAAGGAACATAAACCATTTGTGTATTGATTTTTCTTGTAACCGCAGCTGATCAATACCTCCTGTGCCAAAATCCTCAAAGGCAGAGGACAAGGTTGATGCACAAAGAATCTTGCATGTTTCAAGACTGATGATGATAATGGAGGTAAAGTGGATAAGGAATGATGACGGTGATGATGATAATCATAATAACGATGATGATGATGATGATGATGAAGATGAAGATGATGATGATGATGATGATGATGATGATGTTGATGATGATGAAGAGTATGATGGTGATGATGATGATGGTGATGATGTTGATGATGAAGAGTATGATGATGATGATGATGACGATGATGATGACGATGATGATGATGAAGATGATGTTGATGATGAAGATGATGTTGATGATGAAGAGTATGATGGTGATGATGATGGTGGTGGTGATAATGATGATGATGGTAGTGATGATGATGATGATGGTAGTGATGAAGGTGATGATAGTGGTGATAATTGATGATGATGATGATGATGATGATGATGATGATGATGATGGAGGTGCATGGAGGGGATGATTGATGAAGATGATGATCATTATCACGATGGATGATAACCATGGTTGATAAGAATAGTGGATATGAGGAGGAGGATGGTAATGATGATGATGATTTGTGATGAGGATGGATGAATGGTCAAATTTTCAATCTTCACATTTAATTTCTGTAAAATACATTGTCATGGCTTTAAACAAATTCAAGTCATAAAAATTGCAGAATCTATCAATATGTTGTAACTTGTACCTGGCTTACAAATTTGCAATATAAATAATTTATGTTAGGCTAGTATAGTCCGTTTAGACTAACAGTACAGTCAACTCCAACTTTCTAAGTCTAACTATTAAAGATTTTTCTAACACAGTGCATAGGGGCAGTTACACTGTCATCCAAACACGCCAAAAAATGCCAAACCGGAGCCTGGCCGCGATGTTACCAAGGGCAACTACGCTTTACCGGCAGACATGCCAAGCCCCAAACATTCCAAAACGAAGTGTGATCTTTTGGCGTGTTTTGGCGTGTTTTGGCGTGTTTGGCAAGTATAACCGCTCGCAGTTGTAACATCGCGATGTTAGGCACGTGACTTCCGGCACTTCCGGATTGTTACCCGCGCTCTTTTAAACCACGTTCTTCCCGTGTGATATTTATAGCATTTCCATCGTCGCGCGTGTTATCCGTTCATTCAGCTCCGTTTGTTCCAATTCCGTTAACTCATCCTTTATTCAATCTTCGTTATTCCCGTCTGGCCATATCTGTCTAGTAGTAGTATTTGAGTGTTTTGTTAGATTAATTAATATCACCATGGAAGGGAACAATTCCCATTGGACTGATGATGAGATGAAGTTCTTGATTTCGATGTGGAGGCAGGGAGAGCTCCTCCACCAGACTTCCAAGCGTTCCAAAAAACGAGCACGACGATCACTTTCCCTACGACGTCGGCGAATTCTCATAATTCCAATTAACAACGATGATTTTCTTAACCTTCCCATATCGTTTTTACTACTAGATTTCGATTGAATTTGGGAAAACTGAATCAGCAGCCGTAGTCCGTACTTCGTGACTTATCCACTCTTGCCTCAAATACTACACGCGAGATAAACAAAACATATCGCATGCATGCGCATGGGATGTATCGCTATTTAGCTAGCTATAGCGCTAGCTGGAAATTGCGCGCGCTAAAAATCTTATAGCAGGCCGGGGTCAAAGGTCGGGAAGACTGCACATGCGCATTACCAACCGAAACACGCCAAAACATCGCTGAACAGCTCCGTCGGTGATGTTTCAGCACAAGTGTAACCGGGTGCACGAAACATCGCGACTTTTCAAAATGAGGTATTTGACAGTATAAATGCGCCTCATGTGTAGATCTGGGTCTATTTATTGTTATTAATTCATCAGCCTCAGTCCGAAAATGAAAGACGGTCTTTGTCAAAATGTTGTCTTCTTTTACTGCTTCTTTCCATAACTTCCTGCCATCTACAAAATAGACTTTTTTAAGAACCAAATTTTAATATTGATCTAGAATTTTAGAAATAGAATTCAGGTGGTTGTGGTTGAGTTTGACTTTGAACATGTTGAACTTGAACTTAATTAGGACCTACTTAAAGCTTACAGTATCTGCCATAGTTTACAGGAGGGATTAGAGTGCCCTGCAAGGTCACTGGACAGGTGGCTATCTCATCAACTCAGCTCTCAGTTAACATAAGAAAAAGAGGATCATGGGGGACCAATGGTCACTGATAAGGCATTGTTTGTTATATAGAGGGCGCAAGTAGCTACAAGTAGTGCAGTGGGCCTTTAAGTTAAGACAGTTGAACTTGAACTTAGTTTGAAATGCATTGGAAATATCATTATTCAATTCAGTTGCAACATTTAATCAAGACCTTCAATATATGTTATTATCGGATAACTCAACTAATTCCTACTTTACATGTAAATACTTTCATATTACAAGAAAATGGACGAAACCTTGACTTGTTCGTTCAAAGTATCTCTTTGGTTCGTTGTTTAATATTGCAGTGCCAGCGCCAGTGCAGTGGTGGTGCTCCACGGCCACGGCCACGTCCATCAATTATATGTGCAGTGGCATGGCAAGCTTGCGGCAGGTTCGGGAGGCTCAAGATGTTGTTATCGCGTCGTCGATTATCTTTGATGCAAGACATGTAACGTTAGAATTACTCTTATAAATGGATCATAATAAAAACTGATTCAACTAAAACTGCTTACCTGTTTCTTATGTTTTAGTCACAATTATTTCTTTCCAATAACCTTCACAGAAATGTTGAAAATAAGGCGACTTCTTGATCCTCTAATCGCGAGAGATACCTTCTTCGTATATTCTAAAGCTTAAAATATGCACGTACAATCTAGCTCGCTGAACTGCATGCACTGTACTGCAGTACACAAGTATACGGTACGTACGCCCAGTATGTACGTGCGCGCGTATGTGTATGAAGTTCATGAGCAAGAAATAATTATATCAGAGAAATTGATCAGTTGGCTAAATACAGTCAGACCTGTCTATCATTAAGGCACCCAAGCCAAGGGAAACAGACAAAGTTGCCACTGTAAACAGGTGACCTTTCTAGACAGGTTCTACGACATAATTTTCTCTCTGGAGGGAGACAAATTAATGAGATAACGCCTTATTTTTGGGGTGGAGATCATCCCAGAAATAAGGTTCATTGACTTATTTCTGTTGAGTATAGCCTGAAAAGGCCCAGAATTGGGTACAGAAAGGGTATTTTTCATGAACTGGCATGTGCAATAGTCAGAGGCGGCGCTCCCGGGGGGGGGGGGGGGCAGGGGGGCACAGTGCCCTCCCACTTTTTCAAGTACCCTAAAAGTGCCCCTTGTTACATAGGAAAAGTGCCCCTTTTACATTGATAATTGCCACTTTTTACATAGCAAAAGTGCCCCTTTTACTTTGACAAGTGCCTCTATTCATTTTTTTAAAGTGTACCTGCCCCTTTTATTAATTATCCCCTTTTTAACTTGGATAAGCGCACCTTACATTTTCACATGTGCCCCCTTTCCTTTTAAATAAGTGCCTCTTTTTCTTATGATAAGTGCCCTCATTTAAAAAAGAGCCCCTTTCCCTTCTCATAAATGCCCCTTTTCATCTATGAAAATAGTTCCTTTTCATTCTCATTAGTGCCCTCTTTCATCTCTTATAACTAACCCTATTCAATTCTGAGAGATACACGTTTTACTTTGACAAGTACCCCTTCCCCTCCTGATAAGTGCTCTTTTCATCTCTTATGAATGCCCCTTTTATTTTGACACGTCTCCCTTTTCCTTCCTAATAAATACTTAATTTCCTTATAAGTGCCCCTTCCCCTTCTCATAATCACCACTTTTCGTCTTTGATAAGTGGCCCGTTTATTTTAACATGTGCCTCTTTTCCTTTTTAATAAGAGCCACTTCCCCTTCACATTGCCCTTCTAATAATTATATGTGCCCAATTTCCTTTCTAATAAAGAACCTATCCCTTTTTCGTAAATGCCCCTTTTCACTTTTTATAAATGCCCCCTATCAAAATCTGATTGGTGCCTCTTTTACGCCCATCTCCTTTTCATTCCTGATGCATGCCTCTTTTTTTAGGTGTAAGAAGTGCCCCATTTTCACCCCTGATAATTAGCCTTTATACTTTGACACGTGCTCCTTTTCTTTGCTAATAAGTGTCTTAACCCTTTCGAAAAGAGTCCCCTTTTCCTCTCATCATTAAACGTGCCCCTAATTTCAAGCGATTAAAAGCAATTTCCCCCAAAGCTCGCTCGTAGTTATAAATGTTTTAATTATGTAACTTATGAAAGATCTTTTCAGTCTTCAGTGATGAGAATGTGCTTATAACTCCATCAAGATTGGGGTCTTCCTCTTTATAAGATGTAATTTATCGCACTGCGACCTCACAAATCTTGAACAAAAAAATCCTCGCTCGCAAATTTTTAGACCATCACACACAACGGCAAAGTATGATACTTAAGCAGTATCTTATTTGATGTATAAAGAGAAACAAATATTGAAATCATCCCCGATAATGTAATCACAATATAGGGGCATATACCAATGTTTAAACAATTGTATTTTTTCCCTTTGAGATTTCCCTTTGAAAGTGCCCTTTTTTTTCTCCAGAAAGTGCCCTTTTTTGTTGGTCCCCCCCCCCCCACTTTGGAAGTCGCTCCGCCGCCTCTGGCACTAGTCTGTCACTTATCAGAGTCATTCTTCCCTGACCTGACTACAAGGCTATGGTACTCGACGCTAGGGGACCTCTTCACTCTTTATATAATATACTTGGCATGAGTTACAGAAAATACAACTTTATTTAAAGGTTTTGTGCATCATGATTTTTAGTTTTGGCATAGGTCATTGCTTTTTTCCTCGTTGTTTTTATTTTTGTGTTCGTCTTTTTGTTTTTGTTTTCATTTTTAAGCTGCACATACCATACACACATATGGTAAATCATACATAATACGAATATCCATCTAGGATGGGGACGGGGTGAATCCCTCAAGCCGGTTGAATCACTCAGTCAGGGGCGGCAACACTCTTAAAGATGAAGTTGAGTTCTGGTCATGCGATTGCATTGTGAAAGAAACGGTGTGGAACCGACCAGAAAAGGTTGATCATCTAGCATATAAGAATTTGTGTGTATTGCAAGGTTCTGGAATCATCAAAATGATAAGAAATTTGGCCAAGTCTTGGTAAAGTTACAAACACTGTACACAAAAAGATGTATATGGGACTACACGAACACGTGGCGTAAAAAGCCGGCCCCCGATGTTACATGCATATTTAGAATATGAAGGCATTTGAAGAGCCATGCTTTTCAGGGAACATGTCTTATCTGATATTCTTCCACACTTGCATAATAAGAATGAGTAACGCTCACAAATTATTTTTCACCTCTTCCCAGAACTCAACCTTCTCTTTAACATGGTTTCATTAATTCAAACGGCCCTCCCTGCAGTAGATCATTGAAGAAAATAGTTCATTTTATTTCTTCTTTCACAAACGTCATTTTACACAGGATTTCCAAAAAAAAGTAACAGGAACATGCAGCAGATTATATAACAAACATAAGTTGAAGTGCAATATTTTGATGTACAACTCTTGTCATTAACAAAATAAATTCTAAAAAGAACTCTTAGGCCTATATGTAAGATCATGTTCTGTGTATAATATGAAAGAAAGAGGAGACCTCATGGAAGCTGGGCTTGCCTAGAGCAAGGTCCTCAAACGGAATATAGCTAATTGCTTAATAATAAAACATGGGCCCTATATTTACAAAAGAGATAGATTGATGTATATATGAAAAGAGAGAATTGAAAGATATATCCAAAAGGATGGAGAGCGAAAGTGCAAAACGGAACAAAACGACAACAGAGACAGAAGAAAGTTGATGGGGAAGAAGTAGAAAAGAGAGAGAGAGAGAGAGAGATAGAGAGAGAGAGAGAGAGAGACGTACTAGATTAGTCAAACCGGACAAAACGAGTTTGCTAAACAATGAAGAAACTTATAAGGTAAAAGGGCCAGGCTGGAAAAGATGGCGGGGGGGGGGGGGGGATTGCGGGGGCAATATTATTCCAACGTGATTGTGTTGGTGTTTTTTCTCTAAAATAAAAAAGCAAGCAATTTATATCAGTGTCACAAGACGCTTTCCGCATTTGTACCGTTGATGGCATGGTTTCAGTATCAAGAAAAGAGATAAGCCATCGAATGCGCACGTCTGCACTAGTATGGCCAGGGGGGATTAGACCTCCCTGCCAGGTCACTGACAGGTGGTTATCTCATCAAATCAGCTCTCAATTACCATAAGAAAAGGGGGTCATGATGGGGGACTAAGAGGCACCGATTAGGCCTTGTTTGCTATATAGAGGGCGCAAGTACCCCCTCCTTTCTTACCGAGTCCTCCTTCTTTCCTCTTCCTTACTTCCTCCTTCTTTGAATTTTGATAATTATTTATATAAAAATAAATGATTATGAATATACAATATTCAAAAGTTATCGATTCTTTAAAGTTCATAAAAGATTTTGTGAAATGCCATGCGTGCAATATAATACAATGACCTTCAGGCAAAGGCATGGGGAAATCAAGTTCTTGGGGATAAAAAGGAAAAATAAAGGGATTAAAAAAATATAAAGCAATTGAAGAAAAAAAATAATGGTGAGGCAATGAAGTCACAAACTGATAACCCAATTGGCCATTATTTCGTGTAGTGATTTTCATGGTTCTAGTTTTCATCCCCTTAAAAAAAATCATAACTTCCTTATATAGTATCTGATTTTGCTCAATTTGTTTTGCTCTGTTTCTCCTGTTGAAATCTATTGAAAGCAAATTATTTTTGGAGTGGACTTAGCCTTTAAATCTGTCCTCCTCCTCCTCACCTGCTTTTCTTCTTCCTCCTCCCTGCAAGCGAGCTCAAGTTCTCACCTTTTCTCCCTTTCCTTCCTTTTCTCAACTTCTTCTGTTACTATAAATCCTCATTCGTATAACTTCGACTCTTGTTGTACCTCATTCATTGTTTATCATTCTCCCCTATACTAGTAACGTATTACATACTACTCATTCTATACTTCTTCCTCTCATGTTCTTTTTTCTCTCCCCCCCCCCCCTCATCTTCCAACTCCTCTTCTTCTGACTCCTCCTCCTCTGCTGCATGGGCCCCGCCCTGTCCTCGTTCCTTCCATCTGCTCCTCATCCTTAATTCCTCCTCATCACAAACTCTTCTAAATATTCCCTTCCCTGTTATCTTCCTCTCCTTCCCTTCCCTTTAAATCCAGTCTTTCTTTTTGGACCCTCATCCTCCTTCTCCTAATTCCTCTCCTTCATGATGCTCCTCGGTCTCATTTTCTCCCTTCTCTCCTTCCTCACTATCAAAGTAGACTAATAGTGTCCTATCCCGTAACTAATTTGAGTTTAGGAGTACAGAAATAATTTCTAGTATAGCATAGGCCCAATAACTACAAAAGGAATGTTGCCAGAACTAAATGTCTGGCAATATTTGGCATTTTTAAGTAGAATTGAAAGAGTATCTGAATGAAAAATACCAGAGCTGAGTTATAATCATTATGCAAACAATGTCCAGGGAAGTTTCAGCTAAATGTTTATTATAATTATAGACAGTAAAAGAAACTATTGAATTTTCCTAATTTCTTTGCTTATTCTCTGCTATAGTTTCTACCCAAATTGTGGCACACACATAGCATTTATTTGTATAGTATTGAATATTCAGTGTTTTGATTATTCTGTGAGAAATCATGTTTTACCACCGAGTAGCCTACAAATCAATATGAGAACTTTTTCGTTATCCCAAATTAATGTCCTGTAACAAAAGCTCCCTGCAGCTGTAGAATAATAATTCATTGGGGTCAAAGATATCTCTCATGGATGCCCTA